AAGATGGAGGATGGCCTTCTTTCTTTGGACTAGCTTTCCTTCTGAGGTCAAGATGACACCCCCCCCCCATTGATGTTTAGAAAGCCTGCAAAAAGATGGTCTTCTGAAAGGCCTTCAGAGAAGTAGCACCTAATTAGGCAACTCAAAGGTGCTTTTTCAAGAGACTACTGGACTTTCTGTTTTTTCTTTGAAGACGTTTCGCTTCTCATCCAAGAATCTTCTTCAGCTTTTGACTGGCTGGTCAGTCAGTCAGAGCTGAAGAAGCTTCTTGGATGAGAAGCGAAATGTCTTCAAAGAAAAAAACAAAGTCCAGTTGCCTCTTGGGGGAAAAAAAAGAAGCACCTTTGGGACAACTTGGATGATTGAGAACCTTCACAGACATCTAATTAGGCAACAGCAGAAGTAGCGTTTTGTGGGATATGAATTTATTATTTGGATTTTGGTTTTGGTTTTACTTTTCTGTAATTGTGAGCCGTTTAAAATAGGTGACAAACAAGCATAAATAAGTAAGTTGCTCACTGTTTCGCTTTTGAGCACAGAGAAGGTTGGCCAAGGGCTGCTAGCTTCTGCAAGTGTCTACTCTGTAAACAGGCACAAATTTAGCCCACTTGCTAGAATTTATACTGTCCCTGTAGTTGGTTTCACAAACGATCTTAAAAGATGTTTGTGATGATGCGAGAATTAAATTTGCTTGCTAAATTTCCAGCAAAATCCAGAGGCTGTTTCTGATGGGACAACGGCTCTATTAAAGTCAACGGCTCTATTAAAGATTTTAAGCAGTGTAAAGCAGGATACAGTTGAGAACCAATTTATCATTTTTGGTGACACAAATACAGAACCGCTCAGAGGTTTGCTCCTTTTGTGAGCTCTTCAGCTGCGCTGCGAAGGGACAACATTAGAGGCAAAAGATATCAGACCAGAATGATTGGTAACATGGGGACATCTTAAATCAGGGGGAAAGATTAATAAAAGGCTTTTCACCTTTCTATTTAGGGAAAAAAGGTCACTGGCTGAAGGTGGGGTTAGAAATAACCTGGAAAATGGCATTTGTGTCCCCTTTCACTGCACATTAACATTACCCTGAATTTGATGAATTGTAAATTAAAAATAAGCTTTTTTCCCCACAGTTCAGTGCAAAGTTGTAGCTTTGCTGGATTGCAGGATCAAGCTAAGGGATGTTGATGTTAGCATCAGAAGTCCCCTATCTTTATTTATTACTTTATTTTATAAGTTGAAGGACAGTTCTTGTTAAAGTATTTTCTTTTTTTCTGAGGAAATGAAAAAGAAATTGGATCAAAGTTCATTGGGATAGTATTAAGGCAGAGGTTAATATTGCCCTTCTGTGGAATTCTTCAGTGCCTCTGGAATCAGCTGCAGTCCCCTGGGTGGGTTCATGAAATTTTTATTACATTAATTGTCTTCTTAATTTTAAAAAAAAATACATTGGAGTAAAAGCCAGACAACAGCTTCTTGTATTGTAATATATTCACAAAAAAAGTAGTAGAAGCTTGGGAATAACTTCCAGGAGAGGTGTAGTGAGTCAGTCATAATTAATGGAATTTTAAACATGCTTGGGCTAAATGCAAGTCTACCATCTGACAAAAATTAAACTTTAAATAAATAAGCTCAGAAAGAAAACAAAAAATTCGAAGTGCAGAATCAATGGACCACTGGCTGGTTTTTTTTTTTTTTTGGCCATCCGTTTTCTGTGTTTCTATATTCAGCTTATAACATACAAATAGTTATTTGGGTCTATAAATCGAAGTCCTCCATTGAGCAGACTTTCCCAGCTGTTGCCTCCAGCTGTGTCTATAACAATCTGTTCTTCGTGAACAGAAGCACTGACTGAATCTCTCTGCCAAATGATGGCTGTGTCTTGCAAAGTCTGGGAAAGGTTTTGATTTGAATATTTGAAAAGGGGTTTTTTTCCAAATTGGCGGACGTGGTGAATATTGGCTTCCTTCCTGTCCCTCATATGATTAGGATAAGGGTGTAGGGCAGTGATGGCGAACCTTTTTGGCACCAAGTGCCCAAACTGGAACACATGCATGCACGCTAGAGTGCCGTAAACCCGAAGACCAGCTGGCCGCTGCGCATGTGTTGGCTGGCCAGTTGGTCTTCTGGTTTCTGGCACGCGCATGTGCACTGGTCAGCTGGTCTTCAGGTTTCCGCCACTCTAGCATGCACGAAGGCTAGCTGGCCAGTGTTCATGCATGCTCCGGAAACTGGAACAGCAGCTGGTGATGGCACACGTGCCCACAGAGTGCCACCTCTGGCATATGTGCCATTGGACCGCCATCACGGGTGTAGGGTATCTTCCAGTCAGAGACTATACTGGTAGGATATTTCTGGAAGATCAGGGCTGAGGAAACGTAATAGTAACGGGCATTTCTCAAGGCTGTTCATCTGATGGCAGGAGGGCCAGGCCCATTCCTTTCCCCCCTGTCTGTTTTTTTCCTGTGTTTTAATCTTTAGGTCTAATGAAACCTTGGAAACTTGAAAATTTTGCAACTGTGTTATAAAGATTCATTTGGGCTAATAAACAACTTCAGGGTTTTGGCTTATATTTCTCATAGCCAAACCATTTGTATTTGAGAGAAGTAATCACTTTCAGAATTAAGCAAATCCAAATGTGTGAATTTTAAAATACAGAAATATAATTATAACTGCCAGATAAAATAGGCTTTCTGTATTGCTTTTTTAAAACTTGTATAATAAAATTCTAATGGCAGATAAGATTTTTTTAAAAGAAGGTTTTCTTAAAAGATACAAACTAATGGCAGACTAAATATTTCATGGCAAGTAAGTATGTCTGTGTGTGTGAGAGTTTGCGCGTACGTACATGTGCTTAATGCTAGATAACTTCTAATGTTAAATTGCCACATTTATATTTCTAAAATAAAACACCTACTTGATATGAACACTTCCTCCAGAAACTTGTTATTGTCTCTTATTTTAATAATAGTTGTGCATGACCAATTCTTAATGGGATCAAAATGAAGAAATTGAATGTTGGATTGGAACATATACCCAAGTTGTTCTGAATACTTCTGCAATTAAAATATATAGTGCAAAATGATGTTATTTATTTGAGGAGGGGGGTGTCTTTTATCCACAAAACCACAATTGAAAGACTCTTAACACTCTCTCATAAGTATCTCAAAAAACTCTTGTAACAGTTAACTATAGACATAAAGGGAACAGTACAATAAAATTTAAAACAGATAATCATAAAAATCAAATCGCAGCAGTACAAGAATTCCATCAACAATATTGATGGCATCCCTTCATCCTCTAAGACAGGGGTGTCCAACCTTTCACCTTCCCTGGGCCACATTAGAAGATGAAAATTTGGTTTGGGCCGCACATAAAATAAAATAACAGTAAGGATACCTGATCATCCAAAAAAACCATAGAAAACATAGTTAACATATTAAATTTATTTCGAAATGAAGTTAGTGAGATGTTTTTATTATTTATTATTAATTATTTATTAAAAATTATTTATTTTTTATCATGGTTTTTTTATCACAGTTTTTTTATCATGGTCTATTTTCTGGCCAAATTTTTTTTGGGGGGGGGGGGCGAGTAGAAAGCTCACCCGCCTTGCGCCTACCTCTCCTCCTGCAAATGGCCCGGCTGGATGAGGCAGGACTGGAAGGCAGAAGCAGCAGCAGTGGTGAGGGCAGAAGCCTTCCCCCGCCACTGCTGCTGCTTCTGCCCCCGCCGTGGCTTCTTCCCCCGCCGTCGCCGCTTCTTCCCCCGCCACTGCTGCTGCTTCTGCCCCCGCCGTGGCTTCTGCCCCTGCCCCCGCCGTGGCTTCTGCCCCCGCCGGCGCCGCCGCTTCTTCCCCTGCCACCGCTGCTGCTTCTGCCCCCGCCGCCTCCCCCGCCGCCGCTTCTGCCCCCGCCGCCGCCGCCGCTTCTTCCCCACCACCGCTGCTGCCCCCGCTGCCACCCCCGCCATTGCTTCTTCCCCCGCCACCGCTTCTTCCCCCGCCACCGCTGCTGCCCCGCCGCCACTCCCGCCGCCGCTTCTTCCCCCGCCACCGCTACTGCCCCCGCCGCGGGGGCAGTGGGGGCAGAAACAGCAGCGGTGGCGGGGGAAGAAGCGGGGGTGGCGGCAGGGGCAGGGGAGGCGGCAGGGGCAGAAGCGACAGTGGCAGGGGCAGAAGCGGCGGCGGCAGGGGCAACAGCAGGAGGTGGCACTCTGACGGCACCTGCCTTTTTTCTTGCTGCTTGGCCTGGCGCTCGCCTTGCCCCGCCTCGCATCTGCCTCTCCTCCTCCTCCTCGCTGGCTCTGGCATGAAGGTTGGGGTGGGCACTGGGCCGCATTACGAGGCGACCTGGGCCGCATGCGGCCCATGGGCCGCGGGTTGGACAAGCCTGCTCTAAGATTCTTCATAACAGTTCTGTTTTTTTAAAAAAAAAAAACTTATAGAAAGGCCAGTGTGGGAGCTAGTCAGATTTCCAGAGGGTGACTCTCATAACATAAGCATACTTACTGAGAAGCCATGCCTGTGAGTCTCAGGGCCTCCCCTCCCCTTGAGAAATAGAGAATCAATTAATCTTACACTGACTTCATCCTATTCTTATAAACCTACTGTCCTACCCAGCAAGTCCGTGCTAGCTAGTTTGAGTCTGGATAGTGAGTGCCAAATATGTGAAAATATAAAGTATAAAGAAATGCCAAGTTTTTCCTCTTTCCAAATCCATAATAGTTTTGCTGCTTTGCCATCATACATATGATTTGTTTTCTGTACATGTATGTGTTTACAGAGTTAAACTTTTTTCTAGTCCATGGGGAGACTTAGTTGATTTAATGCTTTGGTTGTGTTGTGCTTTTAGGATTCCATTTCACAATATCAGTGAAATGTCACAAAAGCTTTCAATTGGCAAAGTTTAATCCCTTGGTAACAATATGTGAACTTTGTATTGCTAGTGAACATCTTAAATATATATTGGTGCAATATAACATATCCCTTGTGTTTTCGGTCGCAGGTATAGTTGAAGACTACAAACCTCCATTTTATGATGTTGTTCCTAACGATCCTAGTTTTGAAGACATGAAAAAAGTAGTTTGTGTGGATCAGCAGAGGCCAAATATTCCCAACAGATGGTTTTCAGACCCTGTAAGTGCACTTGCTGAAATGGGTTGATATATTTTCTACTCGATCGTCTGTTAAGAATTGTTAAAACCATCTGCTGTTTAGACTATAGGCCAAACTAGATGTGGCAGCAGTAATTACATTTGTTTAATCATCCATTTTTCCCATTCATAATACAGCAGGAGGTGGCCATATTTTTACAATAAAATAGGCATGTGGGCACAGGAGCTGAACCTCTCACCCCTGAAATCTGTTCACCTGCAGCAGTTTTACTTGGGTCTAGAGGCTATCTGGAATACGAGGGATTTGGATGAAAGTGCAAAGAATATGGGGAAGTATTGGCTGCAGCTCTCACTTCTGGTACTTGCCAGTCTGTTTATATTTAAATTGGCAAAAGGGGTGGGGGGTGGGGGCATATGAAAAGTCATTGTAGAAACAACCGTTCTACACGCACAAGTACTAGAAGAGAAAAACTTGCAAGCGAAATCGTCTTTTAAGAAAAATTGAAAAAAGCTTTTAAAAGGTAAAAAAAAACCTGTTTTTTTAAAAAAAATACATTGTCAAAAAATACATTATCATTAACAAGCTCTTGATATAATCAGCAGAGACCTATAGCCTATCAACCCTAGGACTGCATAATAGTTTTTTTACCCTAAATATTTACAAATTCTAGAGTGGAAACAGAATATACTTATCTAAGGTCAGGGAGGGAGCTTTCCATTGAGTGGCCCCGCAGAGCCAAACGAAGGCATAATCCAGTGGCAGATTAAGACTCACTGGTGCCCTAAGCACTGACAAATCTTGGTGCCCCGCTCCTTTGTACATACTGTACACACGAAGCCATATTCTCAATTTTGTGGTGCCCCCTTTGGGCCTGGTGCCCTAAGCACATGCTTAGTCTGCTTCATGGTTAATACACCACTGGCATAATCCATTGGGCAGAAAGAGGATCTTGATCAGGTGAAAACCATCCTGGACTCAGTTTGTCAACCAAAGATATGAAGCTGTTATAAAAACCTTGAACTGTTCGCTCCAACCACCAGTTGTCCTGAGACCACAGAACTGAAGGAAGTACGCTTCACAGCAATTAGGGGCTGCTCAGTTATATCACCTTCTGGCTTCAGTATATCTGTGTGCAACTCTTCCCCTGTTTTGCATCTTCTCTTCCTAGCAGTGACCTCTTCTCCTTCCCCATAGCATTAAGAAGCTTTTAGAAGCTCTTTGGAGAGGCATTTGATACTCAGGGATAGCTGAAACCTCCATTATTGCTTCTTTGCTTTAAATATTGAAGCAACTTTTTAAATTAAAGAAGTTATTCATGAGTACTGTAGATAGAAAGTGTGGAAGACCAAACAGAGAAAGAAACAAGCTTTTAGGCTGGTATTGAACCAAAAAGGTCACTTATAAAGTTCCCAACAGGTTTGAATTATTTTTCCATAGGGCAAAGTGGCCAGGCCACGTAGTTTTCTTTTAAAAAGAGCAAGAGAGCGCTCTTGATCTTCCTGAGTGTACCTTCCAGTTCAATATGAACTTGGGGGTTGGGGACAAACTGCTTTTTAATGTTTTTCCATTTTATATTTTCATCATGTCTTTTAGTGGGATTGGGGTGTACTAAATGAATTGAATTGACCAAGTGTGATTAGACACACATGGAATTAGAAAGTCACCAGCCACCACTTATCATTTGTGTGTGTGAACTAGCTTCAGTGTTGAAACTGGTTACTGTAGATGTCCCATTGTGGATCAGACTGGTTTATAGAAATGATTACTAAGCATACAAACAATAGTTTAAGCCTCAAACTGCGGTTTGAAGCCACTGCTGTTTTCTGTATATTGTTTGGTCAGCAATTGTTTTCCAAGGTGCAAACAGAGCAGTGATAATCAATGTGGGTTGGAGCAGGGCCCTCAAAATATTCTACTCTGAATATATATTTCTGTGCTTACCTTTTTAGACATTAACTTCACTGGCTAAGCTCATGAAAGAATGCTGGTACCACAATCCATCGGCAAGATTAACAGCTTTGCGTATCAAAAAGACGTTGACCAAAATTGATAATTCCTTGGACAAGCTCAAATCTGACTGTTGATTAAAAAAATAATAATGCCACAATGCTGGCAGACACAAAGAAGGACATACAACTTGCTGGGATTTGGTTCCAAGGGACTTCAGGCATTGGCACAGTTGTATACCCAAACCAGCCATTTAGAGAGGAAACAGAGCCATGCGAATCTTAATTAGCGTCTGCCATGGCATTTTTGCAAATGGCCAATCATTAAAGACTTCAAGCTGAATCTCTGGTGGCCTATGGAAGAAGAAGACAAAGGAGTCCTAAGACAAAATCGGGGCATTAGAACCATGGCTTTTAATTATTTTTTTTTTAATTCAGAAAATTGTCTGTTTAATGCTCCCAACTTTGACACATGGAACTGGATAATTTCAATCCACAACTTTGCCTGCGTGTCTCTTCTTTGTTGCACTAAGGGATTCCTTGCATTCCTTCCTTGCACTGTTACAGTTTAATTTTAAGGAACTGACTTGCCAAAAATGGGATTGGCTTTATACACCTTGATCTATGTTTTTTGGATATTAAGAAATCAGTTTGGGCAACGGAACCCATAACTGACTCTTCTCTTTCTCTTTTTATTTTGTTAAGCTGCATTTTACATATGTGTACTGTTTACAGTAAGGCTGGACACTAGGAATTGTTGATAAGGAAACATGCAGATTTTATTTATTACTGGTGCATTTAACAGTTTTTTAAAAACTGAGAAAAGTGCATATAGTTAAAGTTTATTTTTATGTAGCTTCTATCACTTCTTACAGTCTCTTTTTCGTAATATCATATAATCAGAATTGGTTCTGTTTCTTTCCCCTGTTGAATCATTTAGACATTTTAATCACATTTTTAAGTGCTTCATATTTTATATGTGTATGGTCTGTAACATATATTTTCGGTTCAAAATATGCAAAACATTTATATATAAATATATATAAATATAAATATATATCTAAATATAAAGCCATTACTCAAATTATGTCACATCTAGTACCTTATTGATTTAGAAGAATCGATTAGCAGAGCAAAAGAGCAAACAATAGTTCATAAGAAAGTGCTGCTTCCTCCCTCCCCCAATTTATACACAATGAGCATTTAAATGTGGCAAGGAAGAAATTGTTTTAATTTGCCTCCCGCCCCCCATTAAGTAGCTGCTTGTATAAATAAAAAATAATATTTCCCAGTGAAATGAAAGGCAAGTATTCTGCTAGTGAAATGAAAGGGAAGTATTCTGCTATTTTCCTGGGTTTAAGGTGAAGGTGGTGTGTTTAAATTGAAGCATCACCAGCATATATATATATATATATATATCCCTCAGACAGTGCCATATTCATTCTGGAGATGTGGCCTCACAATGGCATGGGTTATTGAGTGATGTAGGGATAAAACATGTTGTCTTCTCCTTTTTTTGATATCAAGTTTTCCAAGTAAACAACTTTGATTCTAGTGCCTTGCTTTGTACTATAGTTACTCTCCTTTGAAGCCTTGCAAGTAAAAAAACTTGGAATGCTGACTTTCGAATATTAAACCAGGACAATGTCTGGAAAAAGGCTGAATGGACTTGGTTTAAATTGAGAGGGTTTTCTTTTTAAAAAAGGGCAGGACAAGCTTCCATTATTCACTGTCCTATCTTACATGCTTCAATAACAATTATTTGGGAGATGTGTACAAGGTTTGGTTTGGACAGCTATATGCTCAATGAAATATTGCTGCTTTCACTAAATGGAGACATCGCTATCATTCATATAATATTGGATAGACATACCGTGATTTGTTAGGATTTAATTGCACCCCCTATGCAACTCAGGTTTTCAAGTGTTATTTTTGCGGCACAGAACTTTGCCAGGTGATCTCAAAAAGTAGCATTTGAATTGGTTGTGGATAGGAACTAATTCCCCACCTCAAAAATTCCCTGGTTGCAGAAAAGTAGTTGAATCACTTCTTCCTCATATTTAACATGAGAAACTACATATATGGACAACTTATATGTAAGTAAAGAGTAATGCTGGAAAGGACCCATAAAAATGGTCTTTGATGTCCTCCTTCCTAAGCTTTCTATATTTTGATAAGCAGCTTGGTATTTTCTAAGATAATTGTAACTTTCACTTGTTAAAATGTTTGGTGACAACCCAAATCAAAGAAAAAGAAATGAGAAATTCCAATTTTTAACCAACTCCATTTAATAGTGATGAACTTTTCCATGAGGACTGGTTATCCATTTAATAAATACTCATCCTTTGACTTGTTGTATGGCTATTTCACATTGCTTAACAGACTTGGTGGGGTATGGTGCATCCATTATTTCTGACTTATCACTTCACTTTAATACTTTTTAATACACAAATTACTCTTGGATATTTTTTTTCAAGTATTAAAATGAAGGAGATTACAACGCAGTCAACACACATAAATGTGGAAAATATCTTGGGGTTCACTGCTGTAGAAAGAATGGGTTTTAATTCATATATCTGGAATGGTAATTGTGAGGGGTATACAGTGCATTTCAAATTTGACACATTTGAAGGTGAAAATATCCACAGAGTATTTTCCCAGATTGCTTTGCAAGAGGAAAACACGCTCAGAGAAAATCAAGTAATTGCCCAAAACTTTCCAAAGCTAATAGACTGTGGTGCCTCATAGGGGAAATTAATATGTCATTATTTTCAAGATGCCAAGCAAACATATCATTCTAGGCACCAAAGTCCAAAGTTGATTCCCTAAGCAGGCTGGAGCAGATATGTGTGGCTCTACAGTAAATCTTAGAAGAGGTTCATGGAAAACTCCTTGCAAACAATACAAATACAGCATTTTAAGAACCCTGTTTGACGTATACAGAGGAGCAGGAGTGACTTCTGTGTCCTAGGTTGATTGTCCTAGCAGGGTAACGTACAGTAAGTGATATAATGCAAGTTAATTTGAGAATTCTGGCTTCCATTTCACAATTATGGTATCGAAAAAATTAAAAGGTTTGTTTTTCTTCACCGCTGGAGATTTTCAAGAAAATATTAAACAACAATTTGCCTCAGGTGGTATAATTCTGCTTTGGGCAAGGTGGGGTGGATTAGATGATCTCCAAGATCTCTTCGAGTCCTATGACTCTTCAATTCTTTTCAAGCAGTGAAGAATGACAGGCATGATGGTGCTATATTTTTCAGGGAAATACAAAAAGCTGCATTTCCCATGTAATATGACTTGCTTTACCAACCTGGTGCTCTTCTGCCTTGAACCACCGTTCATTTATTTATTAATCAAATTTATACAGGCACTCACCTTAGAGAAAGCCTGTAGCGATTCTGACTGGCATACAATAATAAATATAAAGCAATTGTTATGTAAAACTTTAAAAACTGTAAAAGCAGAACTAAAGAAGAATAGTAAGAGGGAAGTTGAGAATAATAAAGCCCCCTCACAGGTTCACTCATCCCCTGGGTTCCTCAGCTCTGCTAATATAACCAGGTCTTGAGATGCCTTCAAAAGCTCAAGATGGATGACGCTGACCTCATCTCTGGGAGCAGAGAAGATTCCACAATTAGGCTGTTGGTTTGAGCTCTGAGCTTGGCAATTTGGTTGCAAATGTTTCATCACCATTTGAGGAGACATTGTTGGTATGTTTTGAGTTGTGCTTGTCTGTCAAGTCTTCAAATACCTTTTCATGAAATGCAAATTGGTCTGAATATTGTATGTTTGGGTATTTCTGAGTCATGATCTGTGGGCTCCACAGCAGAAAAGGCCCGCTATCTAGGGCTGCCAAATCAGACCATCTAACTCAGGACTGTCAAACTGGCTGGCTACACCCACGTCCGGTTTAGCAAAGGAAAAAAGTCCCGATACGTCACGTGACACCACTGTGACAATGTGAGTTTGACTACTTCTACTTCATCTAAATTTCTCAGCCACATTGAAGAATGGTGGGGTTGTAGCACAACATATTTGGAAACCCACAGATTGGAAAGGCTCATTTGAGCTATTGGAAGGCATCCCTGGTTTATTCTTTACCAGAATTCCAAACCGAAATATTAAAATAGATGATAAACAATGCCGTTTCTGTTTCACTGAATTTCTAGAGCAAAAATGTACAGTTATGCCAAGAAAAACATTGGATATTCCAAGATATTCCAATTAAAATGATTATTATCAGTAGAAAAACACAAATCATGCCTATCCAATAAGGTAACACAGACCTAGCAATTTTACTGATTAACTATTTACTTATTTATTGGCTGTTCACAGCCTTGTCTCAGTCTTTGCCCCTCTGTATTGCCATGTTCTAAACTGTAGTTACCTTTCCTGTGTACAGATTTTGCATAACGACAGATGTTTTTGTATTTCCATTTTTCCAAGGACATTCCACAACTTGCCATAATTGTCACAAACACCTTTCTATAATCATTGAAACACACACTGACTTTTTTGTTTCTTATTGTTTGGCTTGCATAATTAACAAACACACCTTAGCGATGATGTCTTAGGTTCCTTAGTATTTTGTAAACTCCGTTTCCATGTAGGGCTCTCCAACATGTATTTTGCTGGCATGTGGAATTAAGAGTGTCATACAAATTTGCACATCTATTAAGTCTCTTCTTTGCAATCAGTATGCAGGTGGATTTTCCAAACAGTTGGCCACTGTATCAGTCTCCAGGTTTGCTGGCATAGCTTGATTAGAACTTCTACTTCTTGGCGAATGTATCTTTTATTTTATGTACACTGAGAGCATTTGCGCCAAGACAAATTCCTTTTGTGTCCAATCACACTTGGCCAATAAAGAATTCTATTTTACTACGTCCTTGACCTACAACTATTCTTTTAGTGACCATTCAAAGTTACAAAAGCACTGGAAAAAATGACATGACTTTTTCGCACAACTGTTGCAGCCTCCCTATGGTCATGCAATTGAAATCCAGACATTTGCCAACTGACCCGTGTTTATGACGGTTGCAGTGTCCTGGGGAAGGGTCACGTGATCATCTTTTGTGACCTTCTGACAAAGTCAATGGGGAAGCCAAATTCATTTAACAACTGTGTTACTAACTTAACAATGGCAGTGATTCACTTAACAGCTGTGA